TCTTGGCAAGATATAATTTTCTAGAAACTCAGAAATATTGCTGGTGGGTAGATATATTATATGCTTACGATAGTAATTTGACAGTCCAGGAAAAATGTAAGATACACATAGCCTTCAAAGGATGATTTTATTTCCATATTTGTGACACAGACATATGTCCCAAAATAGTCCCAAGAAAATGTATAAGCTATAATACAAAAGGTAGAAAAATTGGTACCAATGGAAACAAATGTTTTATCTTGATAGAATATAATAAATCATCCAATTAAAATAAATGAGTCAACCCCTATCAGCATATATGTGTATCAAAGTATTATGGAGGCAGGTGAGGTAGAGCATGATACTACTTACATAAATTTAATACACGCAAATAATGATGTACATCCACACATACTTATTTATTAAAATGTGAGAATATTATACATACATTCATGATAATAAGTTTTAAATAGAAGATGCCAAAATTTTGAAAGCATGGTTTTTATTATGAAATAAAATTAATATGGAACTTTTTCTTTTTGAAACAGAGTTTCTCTGCATAGCTCTGGCTCTCCTGGAACTCCCTGATCAGTGATCTTCCTGCCTCTGCCTCCCAGATGCCAGGATAAAGATGTGGACCACCACTGTCCGGCCTAAATGCTTTTTTGTGCTTCATTTCTTAGCATGCATGTGTGTACCTGTACTATGTTCAACAGAGGTCAGAAGAAGGGGTTGCATCTCCTAGAATGGAGTTACAGATGGTTGTGACCTGCCATATTGTTGCTCGAAGATGAACCTGGGTCTTCTGCAAGCATAGTAAGAGTTCTTAACTACAGAGTTATGTATGCTGGTTCGTGTTGTGTTTTTCTCAACCCAACACAGCTAAAGTAATCTGGGAAGACGGAACCTCAGTTGAGAATAATCCTCTGTCAGATTGCCCTAAAGACAATCTGTAGGGCACTTTGTGACTGATGATTTTTGTGGAAGGACCCTGCACACTATGGTGGTACCACCCATGGGTAGGTGATTCTAGGCTATATAAGAAAGCAGACTAAGCAATCCATGAGGAGCAAGTAAGTGATCAGAATTCATCGACAATTTCTGCATCAGTTTTGTCTCGAATTCTGCGCTGACTTCACTCAGTGACAAACAGTGATTGGTAAGGATAATCCAAACAATTCCTTCCCTCCCCAAACTGCTTCTAGTCATGGTGTTTTACCACAACAGTAGGAAGCAAGCCAAAGTATCACCTCTATAGCCCTGTCACAAATTTTTAATTTCTAAAAAGAGATAATGCCTTGAATTTTGTGTAAACTAAATTTTGTTGGGTCTGGCTATCAGTTTTAGCATTTTTAATAAAAGGTGACAATATTAACAGTACTTTAAAATTTTTTTCATGCCCTGGACTATAATTACCTTTATGTATTTTAATAATACAATGGCTTCTTCTTGAGCCAGTATGATGGTCGATGAACCGTAGTCTTGGTAAAGCAGTTGGCTTATAATCTCGTTTTTATAATCCTTGATGAATGTGTTTACATCATGAACCGTAGTCTTGGTAAAGCAGTTGGCTTATAATCTCGTTTTTATAATCCTTGATGAACGTGTTTACATCATGAAAACTTTGGATTCTCTCTCTTTCATAAAATGATGAGTGTGGGGGTACAGAGTTAATTGCATTGCTTCTAAATTAAAATATCAAAGCTGTAGTTCTAGTCTGTAACTTTTTCAAATTATTCATCAGTGTTGGCTGTATTTGGGAAAGCCCGGTCCAAGAGGAGATAAACTAAAAATGAGGCTGATGGCATGAACACTGAGTCTTCCATCCAGTCTGACTGATGTGTGTAGTATAGGAGGGAATTTGGACCAACTAAGGGTACACACATGTAGACGACATTTTGCTCTTTCCCTCTGCTCTAATGATCACGGTATTAGTTATTTTGTGTCATGTTGATCATAATACACCACAAAAAGCATTCATGAAAGTCATGACTCCTTTTGGCGCACAGTTCCCCGGATGTTTCAGTGTGGCATGATAGAGAGACTCCGCTTGTGGCAGACGAGGTGTGTGGTGGAGTTTGCGCACGTCATGGCTGGCAAGGAAGCAGTGAGCAGGACTAGGATGAGTAACCAGGCCGAACTTGGCTTTTTTTCTTTTCTTTCTGACATTTCATTAGCAGCATTGTATTTGATGTTTTAGAATTTTGAAGGTTATTTGGAGTCAAAGACTCACACTGGTGACCTGTTGCGACCAGCCAAAGTGATATCACTTATTTTTCTCATCTGTGTCAGATGCAACCTACTGAAAGACAATTTAACCTGGATCTAGTTTCGGGCTCTTGTGTGGGGAACGAATGAGGAGCTCATGGAAGTGGGGTTGTAAGACATCAGTTTGTTAACATCTTGGCAGATTAAGAAGCAGATATTCAGGTCAGGGATATACAGCTACCGTTTAGGCCTGCCCTATTGACCCATTTGTATTAGCATGGCTCTTCTGATAGTTTTATGTCAACTTGATACCAGCTAGAGTTAGCTCAATTGAGAAAAAGCCTCCATAATATCTGGCTGCAAGGCATTTTTTTTCTTATTGGTGATTGATAGCGGAGGGTGCAGTCTGTTGTAGTTGGTGCCATCCCTGGGCTGGTGGTCCTGAGTTCTATAAGAATGTAGGCTGAAGAAGCCATGAAGAGCAAAGCAGTGAGCAGATCTCTCTGTGACTCCTGAAGCCAGGTTGCCTTGCTGCTTGAGCTCCTGTCCTGACTTCCTCCTGTAATGACCAATGATGTGGAACTCTATGCCGAATAATCCCTTTCCTCTCTAAATTGTTCACCAAATCCTGGAAAAGTTCTTCCCCCCTTCTAAGCAGCACCAGCAGCTGCTGAACTAATGCTTAAATTACTGAGCCTACGCTGCAATATTTCACATTCAGACTGTAGCAAGACTCTCCTGATGCTCCTATAGCTCTCTATATATGCCAGGCTTGGGCACTAACAATTCAAAACATAAGACTTCATAGGATGCCTCACATCCAAACTAGAATTTCTGAGACTGACCCTCAACATGCATGACTGCCTTATAATACAAACGCATTTTATTCAACTCTGAGTCCCCACAGCCTTAACATTCCTGGCACAGTTCAGAATTGCAGCACTCAGTCTTTTCTGAGAACTCTCACATGCAAACCCTTATAAACTCAAAACTAAAGTTACATGTTCTTGTTATAAAATAGCCCAGGATAAGTATTTCCATCCCCAAACGGAAGACAGAAAGAGAGCAAGGAAAGTTTTGACTAAAACAATTCCCAGGCCCAGCAGGGCAAGCACTAAGTTCTGCTTGTCCTTGGTCAGGGTTGACAATACTTGGTGTCCTGTAGGCTCTTGTGGCTTAGGATGCTCCACCCTTCCACTCTTGTCATCTGCCACATGCGTAGCCTCTGTCCCCTGATAGTTGAACTTGGGACTTCACTTCCTTTTTCAGACTTCCCATGTTCCTGGTATCACCAAAATCTTAGGGTCTGCAATATACCTTAGTCTGCGTCCACAGAACTTCACATGTCTCCCTGTCAGGGTCTCCTCACAGGGAATTGATTTACAAATTGTCCGACTTTCCTGGCTTTTCTCAAAAAAAAAAACAAAAACAAAACACAGAAGCAGTCCCCCTATCCCTGTAATTGTGCATTCCTATAAAGTCAGTGGTGCATGGACAGCAGAAGCAGGTGGGCTGCCTGTTGGGATAGTTTGACCTAGACTCATCTAAATTCCTCCTCAAAATCAGTCTCCAGCGTCCAAAAACGACACAGACAAGTTTATTTACAATAATGGTTAAACTCAGTGTGAGTTTGCATCTCTTTGATTTAGATACATGACAAACAAATTGAGGAAGGAAAGGCATATTTTCTCATAATATCACATGATATAAGTCCATCACAGCTGGGAAGGCGTGGTGCAGGGGTTCAGGTCACAGTGTTGGGGAGTGTGGCCAAAGATAGTCACCTCATAGCTGACTAGAAATAAGAGAAGAAGGATAGAAACACAATGTAGGGAGTAACTTTCAAAGGCCTGCCCTGAGACACACCTCCTTCAATTGGCTAGTTCTCAATTTCCACAGGATCTGCAGACTCCTCAAGGAATGAGACCAGTGATTGAATAAACTTGCAAAGCATGAGCCTGCTGAGGACATAAATTTAAGCCATAATAGCTGGTACCAATTAAGCCTTTGTAATAAACACTTTATGAATCATCATTTAGTTTCCATGATGTCAATTTATGGAGATTTCCAGTATATTAGTAACAGATCTGTATCAGTCTTCCTTCTGCTTATAAAATATTGTAAGCAATTTCAAAATGTTTGTTTTATTCTATGTTAGGTTGCACAAACACAATGCTTAAATATATTGCATGTTTTCATGAAAACACAACTTCATGGTAATTAGAACTCATTAGTGAAATGATTAATTCTAGAAGTTGGCAGGGAATATAGAAGATGAGCCTAAAGAATTTTGTAATGCTTCATACATATTGATGTGTATGAATGAAAAAACACAGGAACCAATTGGAATAGCTGAATTCATTCAAGAAATAATGTAACATAGTATTAAATAACACTGACATAATAGTACCGACATGATAAATTATTAGGTCAAACAGTCAATCAATTAGAATGGATATGTCTTCCATATAAAATTCTGAATAGCTTATGTAGATAATCTTTCCTTAAAGGAACAGAAGTATAAACCTTCACTGAAGTGAACTGCTCATAATAACTTATTTCTAAAGCATGCAGTACAAGAAAAGAAAAGAGTACTTTACAGAGAGATTTCTTTGTGACAATTAACTTACAGTTATCAAAATCACATTGACAGTCATAGATCATTTGTTAGCATACATCTTGACATACTGTAATAAAAATGGTACTTCTGTGATATCTTGACACAGAAACCCAACAAGTCTAGGAAAACCATAAAGAAAAGCCACAATGAATTTCATTATAGAAACATCTCATAAAATACCTGACCAGCTCACCTAGAAAGCTATCCAAGTCATCAAGTAAATAGGAGTTCCAAGAGCCTGTCACAAGAAACATGAGTGAAAGGTGACAGATACAAAGCCAGATGGAAATAACCTAGAAGGAAATATAAAATCAGGTTAGGAAAACCCAGGAAATGTGAGTAAATTAAGAACTTTAGTCATTAGCAATGTGTCTATGTTGGTTCATTGGCTGTAACATGTGATATTAAAAATTGGACCACTAGGCATGAGACGCATCCAATTTCTTGTACTATCATATGCTTTTCTCTAAATCTAAACCAGTTTTTAAAAATAAAGTCCATTTTTAAGAAACTGAAATCACAAAAGAAAAATTCTAACAATTTGAGCATACTGCTGATACTAATGTGAGGGAAAGATTAAAATATTTTTAAACTATGAGAGGTGATGTGTGCATATACTAATGAATTTTAATTTTCCTTACAAAACAAAATTAGCTTAAACTTTGGCTTAATTTTTTAAGCCTATGAGGAAGCTTACTCTGATATCTTGAATATTATAGAGGTTTTCTCCAACATGGTAAGTTTATGGGAAGTATAACCTAGTAGGGCATTCCATTTTTCTATTACTTTTGTTTTTTGAAACTGGCTATTAGGGAGGTGATTTGGTTACTGTTCTCACCTTGCAGATGACAGAACTAGCACAGTCCAGTGATGTGCTCAGTGCCACAAAGCTAACGGCATAAAATCAGACCTGAGCCCAATCCTAAGCAGCCCAGCAAAAAAATTCCTTTTATCCACCAGAAAACTCCAAATATTGTATTATATGTAATTATCACAAAACTGTTTTAAGAAGTACTTCCACTGTATGTTTACATATTTATAAATTACTGGCATTTATTTTTAAATTAATTTTGGGTAGAGTATAATCTGATAAATATTAAGATAATTCTATGTAATTATTTATGTGGTTTTATTTGTAAATTACTTCTGAATACCAAGTGAGATTATTAATCTTGATAGGATTTAGAAAATATAAAATTATATATTTTGTTTGGAAATCTACCTGGCAGGTTGGAGGGATCGAATTCAGGTCTCAGGTTTGATGACAAGCATCCTTACCAGATGAGCCATCTCTGAATCCAACTTGACAGGATTTAGAAACCCCTAGGAGACAAACCTGTGGGCATGACTGTAGAGTATTTTAAAAGTTTTAGTGAGGCGGACTGTGGTGGTGCTCGCCTTCAATACCAGCACTTAGGAGGCAGAGGCAGGCAGATCTCTGTGAGTTTGAGACCAGCTTGGTCTACAAGAGCTAGTTCCATGACAACCTCCGAAGCTACACAGGGATACCCTGTCTCGAAAAACAAACAAACAAACAGAAACGTTTTAGTTGTGATAAAAAGATTGACCCTGGAGGCTGTGGATGGAGTCCAGAGCTGAAGTGACCCCAGCATGCATCATTCTGTCTTTCCTGATTATGCACAGGATGGAACCAACGTTCTTCCTCTGTGATTAACTGTGTTTAGTTGAGAGTGCCTCACACATGCTGTGGTCACATGGTGACTTTTGAGTCACTTGATATCATCCTTGTTCATTCATTGCTACTGAACTGGGAAGATTCAGAGGACAAAGAACTCCAATGACCTTAGGGTCTTTGAAGTTCTTCCATCGTAGTCAGAGTTCCAAGCTATATATGTCCCAAGATAGAGAGAACTGGACATGATTTCTTTGCTTATTTATCCAAAATAGACTGAAAATCCATGAAGTATCATGGCTGTTCTTGTTCACTGAAAGAATTGTTATGTACTCAAAGTGGAGGAACCTGGACTCCTACTTTGTAATGGAAGGGACATCAGAGAAATTACAGGTATATTTTTTTAAGTTATCAAAACGAGAATCTGAACTCAATTTCCTTTTATGGGATAAAGACCTTATCTAACAATACCTTGGTTCAGGGAAATAATCCAAATAGCACCTTGTATTTCTTACTGTTAAACCTGCTGTTACCAGATCTATGAATGTTCTACTGTGTTTATTAAAGAGTTGAATGTACCACGCTTCTTCTTTTGAGCCAACAACCAACTCCCAAATTATGACACAGAGGCTTACTAGTTTAGAATGCTCAGTCTGGCTTAGACACATATCTGACTATCTCTTTTGATTAACCTGTTTCTTTTTATCTACCCTGTGCCTCAGGACTTATTACCACTCTTACTCTGTATATCTTATTTTCACTGCTTCCTCTGTCTGTCTGTCTGTCTGTCTGTCTGTCTGTCTGTCTGTCTGTCTGTCTGTCTGTACGTCTTCTGCCTGGCTTCTTGTCCTGGGAATCTCCCTCTTTCTCTCTTTCTTCTCTTGGTCTTCCTTCTCAAGCCTAGATTTCTCACCTTATTCTCTCTATCTGCCAGCCTCACCTATCCCACTTCTGCCTGGCTATTGACTGTTCATCTCTTTATTACACCAATTAGGTGCCTTAGGCAGGCAAAGTGAAACAGCTTTTCATAATTAAACAAATGCAACATAAACAAAGGTAACATGGCTTTACAGAGTTTAAGTGATATTCTCCAGCATAAACAAATATAACACATACTTGTCTAGTTAAAGTAATATTGTACAGCAGGAAAATAAAACTCCATCTTCATCTAAGCCTAGGAAGGCTTTTTAGGACCTCTTCTCTTCTAACTCTAAGCTGTCTATCCCTGGATTGGGGATGAGGCAAGAAAGGCTGTAGATAGTGTCTTGAGTGCACTCTTCACCAAGTTTTAATGTTTCTTCTTGTATTGTACTAATAATGGGCTGAATACCCTTTATCACTCATCATTTCCAGGGCATCATTTTCTAAATTGTTTTTGCACTCTCCTAAACCAGGAACAATTTCAACAATAGAAATTTCAGGCAGCCGTGCCGTGTTGATGCATAGACATAATTCTACCACACATTGTTTTCAGTGATGGTTATTCCAGGGTGTTGTGTACACCTTCCTTGAGGGTGCTTGCTAGATGGGGTGAGTATGTTTTCCTCTACTGAGGTTCCATTTTGTTTTTATCTTGTTTGCAATCTTGTGCTGTTCTAATAATCTGTGTATTATTCCTTATTATGACAGTTAAAAAACTGTCTGATTCTAGTATCTGATTTAATCCACTTTTTTATATGAAGAGTTCATATATAGATAAATATTGTTGGGTTTTTTTGTTTGTTTGTTTGTTTTTTCACTCTGGTTTGCTACAATCTAGAAGCCACATGGAAGGTTTAAAGACCATGTCATTGAACTTTTCTTCCATTTAAACACTTATAATATCAACATTCTAATCACTAAAATGTTCTTTACCTACTGTTTCCTTTCAACTCATTTTTCATTGTAATCACTGGAGAATTATCTGGTAATTACAAACTTTTTTCAGAGGTATTGTATTCTTTGTGCCCCTGTTTTCTCTGGATAGTACTACATGGGTCTGGACTTTTGGATACATCTCTCTCTGCTTCTTTATTCATTTTTAATCCGCACATTATGCTATGTTCTGGGGTAACTTTTCTACTCCTTTCAATGTGTTTATCTCCACTTTAGCTCTGATTATTCAAGTCATATGTTAAGGTGTTTTTATTCTTGCTGTATTTGTTTTGTTTTAAATAATATATTTGTTAATTCTTTTAGAATTTCACCCAATCAAGTTTTGCATTTATTTTATTTTGTTTCATAAAACGGGCAATGCATTTTCTATAATCTATCCATAGTTCTTAGTTGAAATATCTACCTGAATCATCTTGAGGATAGTTATATTATATTTTAAGTATCATTTTTATTGTGTAAACAGGTGATTTTATTCCTTTTGTCTTTATGCTCTCCAGCCTGGTTTTCAATTAAAATTTATGTATGGATTTAAGAATTCTTGCTAAACTGTCAGATCAGCCTTGGGAGGAAGGGTAGAACCTATTAAGGGTGTAGAAGGCACTTTGTTTTCAATTAGTAAAGGGAAGGATTTACTATCTCAATGCTGGGTTTTAGTTACAAAATCTGCATATCTACCATGGCCATCATCCATCTGAATTTACAACCAGACTTTTTTTTTTTTGCTTTAAGAAAACTTTATGCTCCCCAAGTCAGCTTAGGAGAACTCCCCAAGAAAAAACGCTTCCCTTTTTAAGGACTTCTGCCATCCATCTACATACAATTCTCCAACCTAGCTCTCACAGCTCTCCCAGACTTCTCACCCTCCTGGCTGGTGGTTTAATCTCCCAGAATCAGGGAGACACAGCAGGGAGCAGGAAGAGGCATCTAGCCGTAGGGGGTGTCAAAGCCATGGTGTTCCAGTGAGCGAGCCCTTATCTGAGCCCTATCAAGAGCTTTATAGCACTGAATTGTTTTCAGTAAACATTATCTCATAGCTGCCTGCTCCCAGGCTGACGGGGAAGTGAGTCTCTGTTCAAGGTCTGGTGTCCCCACAATTCACCCCTTTTTATTTTTAAATGAGGCACTCCTGGCTTAGGTCAAGTAGGGTCACCCTCCCTGGCCCATCTTTGGGGGACCTTGAACCCCTGTCTTAGGTGGGAGGGGTCTTCCGCACAGGTTGCCCGTCAACAGAGCGCCCCAATCTTAGAGTCATCTGTAATAAGGCTTTATGGCTATCAGGATTGCCATGGGCTAAGGCACTTTGAACTCAGCATGAAGCCAGAATGTCTACTGCCACTGTTACCATTCCTAGGACCCCCACTGACATAGCGCCTCTCTGTCATCTGCCCTTCCCCCGATCTGGGCCGTAGCATTCTACCACCAGCCTTTTTTTGCTACAAGGGTGATTTATAGTTACAATTTCCAGACTTTTCTTTGTCCTAAATGGTATTCATTTCTGGGACAAATACAACTGTAACTGTAAGAACATCAGTGGTTGGTGAAGACAGCATTAGTTAACCAACCAATATTACTTATTGTAGCTGTTTGCATAATAGTGTGGAACATTTCTCTTAGCTTCTTGTTTTTAATTTTGTGATGTGATATATATATATGCTCGTTTGCATGCATATCTCTGTGTTGTGTGACTGGACGACTGGACTTACAGATTGTTCTGTGACACTATGTGGGTTCTTCTAAACTGAAGAGTCATCTCTCCAGCCCTTACATCTGGCTTTTCACAGTATATTGAGAACATATTTGGAATTAATTTCTCAATTTTTTAATGACTACACAGTGTTCCATTCTGTAACTGTACTATGATTTATTTATTCCTTCCAGTATTATTAAACTTCTATTGTATTATGCTAGTCATTAATATATAGATTAATATGAATTCATTCTTTTCCTATGATGACTGATTTTTCCTAATTCTATTTATTGACTGAAAGCCCACTTCTCAGTGGTTGGAAATGTCAGATTTATCACTTATAGGTTGTGATATATACTTGTATTATTTCTGAACTTTATGATGGTCTGCTGACTTACTTGTCTCTTCTTGCATTTATTCCAGACTTTATTTTCATAACAAGGAAATGCATTTAAATATCTGACAGGCCACATAGCTTCTTGTTATTCCTTTTCAGTATTTTCATAGCTTTTGTGCCTCCTGTCTGTCTTAAAAAACAAAAACAAAAAAACATGTCAAGCTTCTGTTTGGAGTACCACTGGGTTTACTTAAAGTTGAGAAGGCATTTTATATAAATGGAGCTTCTCACTTGGGAAAATTACTGTTTTCCATTTGAAATGCTGTATAGATTTTTCTTAAGAGATCTAATTGTTTTCTTGCTAGTTTCATACTATCAATTTTCTTTTTGCTCATGTATAGTGAATCTTTTCAAACACTCTTATACTTTTTGTTTAATGAAGTACTGTGGTTCCTGCCAAAGAGTTGATGAACATTTGGTATGGCCTTGTTTGTTTCCTTTTGAACTTTTTTTTAATCACATAGAACTACTTCATATAATTTATTTATTGGTTGAAAATAATTTTATTTTGTCACAAACCCATAAAAGTTACATGATGTGGGAATGATAGTGGCTTGTTTTCTTCTTTCCTGAAGTTTAATCACTTAGTGAAGTCTTTCACATAATTGTAACATAAACTGAACTCTCCAAATTGCTGGGGACACTTGGCCAATTCCTGTCTTCTTCTAGTGTTCATTAGGGGCTCTCTTTATTCCTGTGTTAACATCATTTAGAACTGTCTGCCATATGTCTCTGAAGAACTAGACACAATCTCACATCTGCTGAGGAAACACACTTGGACTAAATCTTTTGCTAGGTGACCTGGAATTCAGTTTTCCCAAGTGGTCCTCAGTATGATATATATAACACTTACTATTATTGTGCTGTTAACTTCTCACTTTATGCTTACGTTTTCAATCAGAGTGTTCCAGGTACTGAAACTTACTTGGATGATTTCCCTTTGAACACTTGATTTTCTTCAAGATTTCATCCAGTGCTTTCTGTGGCCATGTGATGCTGTGACATTTGTCTCATGTTCCAATCTTCCATCTGGATCTGTGCTCTACCTGGCAACTCTTCCTTGTGGAAGCAGCGGCCTCAGCAGCACCAGGGAGGGAAAGGGAACTTTACATCTTCTTTGGCAGGAATAAACATTTCCTGCATGGTGTCCAAAATGAAAATAAATTACCCACTGTGCCAAAACATGGAAGTCATGATATTCTTGATGAAATATCATTAAGCAGTCTCCTGGCAGTAATTCTTTTGGGCATTACTGTTTACAATACCATCAGGCTTATATTTCTATGAGGGTTGGGATGATTTAGCAATTACATAAAATTTGTTTATTTTGTAAAGTCTAACTTTATTTTATACTGTTTATTTACCCTTTAGCACTTTGTGAATGTTGAGGGATATCATCCAATGTATTTGTGTCTATTTCTGTCATTTATAGTAGTGGTGGGGGACACAAAACAGAGGTGACACATCAAGCAAGATGGCAGAGCCATATTCTCAAGTTAGTTCTTTAAGATGGGACCTTTTCACACTCAAATAAAATTGGATACTTGACATGCCCTGGTGCATTTTCTTTTATAACGATAAATCCCATGAGTAAGATCATTAATGTGTGATTCTTTGTCCTTTGCTTCAGGTATAAGCTGATTTTAAACTTCTGTCTTCCCTTGACCTTTTGCCATGCTAGTTATTTGGATTTCCTTGTAAGTAAGATTGCCCCATTCTCACAACCCTTCTTTATTTATTTAAGTTTTTAATTTGGTTGCTATTCTCTTCCAGCTTCTTGGTGTACTTTAACAAAGGAAACCCAAAGAATGCTGGAGGCTTTTAAAATACCAAGTAGGGCAGAAAAATTACCTCACTTGTTTTTATGTGTGATACTTATGAACAATCATCCCATTCAGTATTTGTTTTTCTGGCAGGAATATTCATTATTGACTCATCCTTTCTATTCCCTTCCTTGTAACCTTGAAGGTAATACACAATGAATAGAAAATGAAATTTAAAAGCAGAGAGAAGAGATTGGGGGTCACAAGAAGGTGGTATTAGGGTTTCTCAAAATTAGCTTAGCATCTGTGATATTTGTTAGGCAAACAAACTTTAGGTATTAAATCAACAGTATATTGACAGTGGCTCAAAATTCAAATGCCACCCAGGCACTCTACTACTTCAGCAGCAAGGTAAATAGGATCACATTAAACATTCTTATTGCTGATGTTATCATAATTTTGATTTAGTTCCTACAAACAATTTTATAGCTTTTATCTTTACACTTCAAACTAATCACCTCATACTGTCATTTCTCTCTTCTTCTAGGTAAGAGTTAGACACCTAAGTATACCAGGAAATCAGGGTTTTACATAACTTTACGGTTTATTAAACTATTTCATGCACAATATTTGATTTTTACAGCCCAATGTGATAGTCATAAGAGAATTTGTAGATCCATTTTACAGTGAATTATGGATGATCCAATGATTTCAGAAGTAGACTGGAAGGTTACTTCAGATGGTACATATATGTCTCTTGGTTCCTAGCCTATTGTTTATTTTTTAAGTAAAAAAATGGTGTAAGAAAGGGTTAGTTATTGCTGAATCCATTTGTTTCATTTTTGAACTTTGACGGCAGCCCAAGTCAATGGCACTGTTCAAGAATATATGGAGTGAGTATGAGATACAAACCTGAAAAGGCAAGGAATAAAGAGAGGGAAGAGAAGATGCGATTAAGCAGAATGTGACGCACGTGGCTATGAGCATCGGAGATGCCATTGTCACAGACAGCCAGTGCTATTTTCTTAACCAGTTCTATGGAGGACGTTAGTATTTCTCAAGTAGAAGACGAAAGTCAAGCATATGTGGGTGCCTTTTGTTTCTGAAGCTAATATTAACACTCTGCATGTGGGTTTGTGTCTGTAATAATAAGATTGGCCACTGCTCTAAGGTAGCCTTCATCTTGGGGCTGAAGACATGACTCAGGGTTAAGAGAACATACTGTTCTTTCCGGAGGACCTGGGTTTGGTTCCTAGCACGCTTGTCATGCAGTGCATGCCTAACTACTCCACTGCAAAGGGTTAAGATGTCCCCTGGCACCTGAGGAGATCTGCAGGCACATGGTGTCCGGGCACACACAACTTATGCACACACACACATACACATAGTTAAAAATATTAAATAAATGTGCGTTTTAAAACGAAACAAAAGCCCTTCTTCTTAGACGCCAGAAGACCTCAGTGCTACAGAGGTACTGTTTTGAAAGGGACAGGAGGCCCTCAGCCACTCGTTCTGATGACACCGTACTTGCTACAGACTTGGGAATGGCAGGGTCACTTGCCTTCCTAGTGAGTGAGCTTTTGCCTTGTAGCTTCACTTATACATGTTAGGCCACTCTGTGCTGTTTCCAGTTACTTTTGTCAGAGTAAGTGTTACAAACTTTAAATAAAAAAAGAAGCAATTGATTCACCTCAGGTATAACTCTTACTTTAAAATGTGTCGGTTTGAATTGAATCAGAGAACTGAAATGCAGGTATTTCCTGGAGGTGTGATTCAACTTTTTGCTGTATTATGTTTTAGTTTGTGATGATCCTTTAAGAATATTCTATAATTGAAATATAACTAATCTCTGACTTTAGTAGTAGCATCTAACATTTTATGCTAGTTAGTCATTCGTATAATGCAGGGACTTCTCCTTCCTGTGATGTTCTGGCTTCCACGTCTGGCTTATTGCCACTGTCTCCCATGGCCAGGACCCAAAGCCTTGGGTAGAAGGGAGAAGATGGTATCGCTTATCAACATGCCTGCCCTTGCACCTGAAAAATCACAAGCATGCTAGCAGATGTTTTATTTAATTGATGAAAGGCAAAAGCCAAATGAGCCTAGCAGTCCTCTTTTAAATGGATGGAGTTCAACAATCCATTTACGCACTCCCTAGGTCTGGTACAAAGCATATGGAAATGAACAATTGTTTGCTTCAGCAGAGGTACATACTCCCAATATATTGTGATGGAGGAACTTTTGTTTACCTACAAATGATTATTCTTCTGAAAAGGTTGTCATCACCCCAAAGGGAAGATTGCCTCTACCTCTCCACTTGAATTCGTAGTCTTTTATTATTTTTGGAGGTGCCACTAGGGCTTTGATGCTCTTGCTCATCCACTGGGAGGAATCTTGGCAATACCTGAGGGTGATGTGGATTTGCATAACTTTCTTGCATTCTTGGGATGGTTGACGGCTAACAGTCAGTACTAGGTGTCTCATATCTAACCGTCTTCTGCAGTGGGTGGGAAGCCGCTATTTTACTTGTCATTTGGAAAAACCTACTGGCACAAAGGTTTCTTTATTATTATTATCATTAATAAAGCATGATTGGATTAAAGGCTGTAATACAAAAACTCACAAACTAAATGCCAAAAAAATAGCCCAATTAAAAATGAATTGTGGAACCGAAAAGAAAGTTCCACAAAAATAAATACAAGTGGCTAGTAAATCCTTAAAGAAATGTGCAGCATCCCTAGACACCAGGGAAGTGCGGATTAAACTACACTGAAAATCTGTCTCTTCCCAGCCAAAATGACCATCATTGGGGACAGAAGTGACAACAAATGCTGGCCCCAGTGCAGGGGAGGCAAATTCTTATTCAGTCTGGATAGGTGTGTCAACCAGAGCAGTCAGTTTGGAAATCTAGTCAGGGATTTCACAAGAAAATATGACAAATATGTCTATAAATGACACAACTGTACTACTTGACATAAGCCCCAAAGACATCATGTCTTACTGAAAAGCTACTAGCATAGCCACATTTATTCCTGCCCTATTCACAAATATCTAAGAAATGGATCAGCCTAGATGCTCATTAACTGATTAATGAATGGAAGTGTGGTATGTATACACAAAGGAATAATGCAGTGATGTAGAGAAAATTGGAACCGTGAAATTTTCAGGTAAATGGATGGAACTGGGAAAAATTATACTGAGCGAGGTAACTCAGGCCCCAAATGGCATATGTTGCATGTTGGCACGTGTGAGGATCCCAGCTTCAAATTTTTGTGTTTGGCATATATGGGGACCCTCAGAAATGAAGATCAGGCCACTGTTGAGGTATTGTGTTCATGAGAGAGGCAGTACAGTGGGGTGAAATGAAGAGAGCAGACATCCTGGGCACGGGAGGGCTTGAGAGGGCAGTGGTGAGGTGACAGTGAGGACATGAAGGCTCAGTGAAGTGGACATGAAGAAGCTGCTTGGGAAACGATTGTTTGCCATCCAAATAAAAATATAAGAGGGAAGAGTAGAGCATATGTGATGTGAAAGAGCAATGGGAGAAAACTGGAGAAAGAGACTCAAGCAGAAATAGTGAAGGGGGTGAGGAAAATGAGGGTCAAAGTGTTGTTAACCAACACTAAGGATGTATGCAGAGGTCTTTTGAAAACCCAGCAGTTTGTAAGATAACTAAAAATAAAATGTTTTAAAGGAATTTGAACAGAATTATCCAACCTTAGTGAAAAACTCTGTTTTGAGATAACATGGGTTATTAAGTAAAAATCTCAGTGCTATGCACTGGTTATGTCCCTATAAAATTTTGAGCAAAGAGGCCCCTGTGTCACTTAAAATAATAGTCTATTCCTGTTGTTCTCAGTTGCACACCATAGCTCAATCATAAGACTCCATTACAGAGCACACCACACTCTTTGGTTTTAGGACAGAGAGAAGTCAATCTTGAACTAACCAGGAAAATATTGCTGGCTAGCTTACATGCTACTGGAAGGTGTTACATGGGCTTCTGCTGGAGGTAGGACATCAGTGGTCTTACAAAGTCTTAGATGCTGCATAATATCATACCGACCTATTAGTTCTGTAGTTTCAAGACTGTTTATAAGGTTAACCAACCACTCTCTTGATTGGATTTGAAGCCTGTTGCACAGGAAGGAATTCATGCCTAGTACTGTAAATTTGGTCAAAAACCATGATAAGAGAAATCGTAAGTCCTAGGGATGATCATATCAGTGTTTATCTAAATGGTTATATTGTCAAACTGTCTTCCATATATTCCCTTTTGAACCCATAAATTTGTGTTGATTCCAGCCTTGGTGAGATATGCTTTTTATTGCAGTTTGGAAACGGCCAACATAGAAATGAACTGCTGTTCAGACTGATGGAGTTAAGTGACTGTGCATGCATGTTCAGTAGTAGATGAGACATCAAAATCTCTCTCTCTGTCTGTCTCTCTCTCTGTCTCTCTCTCTGTCTCTCTGTCTCTCTGTCTCTCTCTGTCTCTCTCTTTCCCCCCCCCCAAGGCTCAGGAAACATCATGAAGAAGGGACAGAAAGAGTTGAGGAGCCAGAGGATGGGGAGGAGTTTGGTGAAAGTTGTCTTTGGACTTGACCTGGCTGTTGTACACATGAACTCACAGTAGCTGTGGTTATCTTCCTAAGATACCGTTAATAAAGGTAATCACAATTTAGACATGGTTTGTGGAGGAAGTCCTGAGGCTTCCCTCCTAACTGAATAACTGTGGGCAGTTGATGGCTGACAGGGAAAGGAGAGTCACTTCATTAGGAGTGTGGCAGTTGGAGGTGGATTCCCATACCCCGGTGGATAAACCCACACATATGCATCTGGGCAACACTAGTTGTATTTTTGAGGTAAATATAAACTAACAAAGGAGGGTATGAAGTTTGGACATATTATCTAGGGGTCTGGAAAGCAACTGGAGGTTGGAGTTTAGGAGTGGATATGGGCATGATGCATTGTAGACATATACAAACTTTTCAAAGAATAAATTAAAGCATTTAAAAGTGCTCATAGACAGATATATTTGCAGAGCACTGAACTCAATAAGCAGACAGAAAAGATATTAAGATGACACTGTACTATTGAACTACACCAGGGACTTACCACAAAAGGGTATTGTAAGTAGTAAGCAATTATTGTTGGAGAAGCTTTAAGTATAAATCAGGCATATGGTGAGTGATTCCATGAGTCTGCTCCATGCTTATTAGCTTCTTGATCCTCTGTCATCAGGGGTAATGCTGTGTTTGTAGAGCTACTGGGTAGAGACCATGAGACATGGGCCTGCCTGTCCTGTCCAGTCAGGACACACGGGAAGCGCCTGTGCTCCCTTTGCTCACAAACAAAGCCTCTGACACCAGGTTGACAGGAGGTGAATGACTCCTCCTTCAGTGTTCGTGTTGCTTGAGGAAACAGCCAACAGTCCCCAGTGAAGAGGTGGAGATCTATTGTCCATGAAGGATCTGAAATGCAGCTTCCTGCTCAGCACTCCTGCAAATTTGCTTTCATTCTTACCAGATGCAAATAGCACTCTTTGGCTTCGCTGACCTTCTGTTGTGCTCGTCATATCTGCAGTCATGTTGAAAAAATGGCATCTTCACAAAAGGTCAAAATATTTGCCATGGAATAAACTCCATGTCTTTTTCTCAGAGTTATTTCAAACAGTAATGTAAGAAGTTAGGTCACCCCTCTCCACAGTCCAGTTTGTGGGAAATATTATGAATGTACCCACTGTGTGCACACTTTGAATTGGTTTCCTGTACGTGATGTGTTATTGAAAGTTTTGGGGTTTGTTTACTCTGTCATTTTTTTCGGACGTGCAATGGTTATTCACAGGTCTCTCATTTTTGAAGATTTTTATAGGATATGGCAAAACATTCATTTAAACAAAAGGAAAACTACAGCATCTTCAAGCATGTGTGTGGAAAATTTTTAAGATTTTTTATTTAAATTAGAAACAAGCTTGTTTCACATGTCAGTCGCAGCTCCCTCTCCTTCCCCTCCTTGCCCACCCCTCCACCAAATCCCCCAGCCCTCACCCAAACCCCACTCTGTTCCCTAGGGAGGGTAAGGCCCTCCATGAGGGATCTCTAGAGTCTGTCATTTCGTTCAGGGCGGCGCCTAGACCTTCCCCCAAGTGTCTAGGCTGAGAGAGCATCCCTCATTGTGGGATGGGCACCCAAAGCCCATTTGTATTCCAGGGATAAATACTGATCTACTACCCAATGACCCATAGATTGCTGAGGCCTCCTCACTGACACCCACATTCAGGGAGTCTGGATCAGTCCCATGCTGGCCTCTCAGCTATCAGTCTGGGGTCCAAGATCTCTCCCTTGTTCAGCTCAGCTGTTTCTCTGGTTTTAAGTGTTCAGAATTAGCTATTTCCCCTCAGATTAGCTATCTTCCCATTCATTTAGAGAACAATGTATAGATATCTGCTCTTTCGGTCCATAAATCTTGACTCTAACAAAATATCTGTGGCTGGGGTACTTTGTGAAGAAAAGAACTATGTTACTATTATGGAGGCTTGGAGTTACCAGCATAATAGTCTAGGGAGGATGGATCCCCTGGATGCAGAAATGGAGAGGACTAGCCACACTAGTTATGTACATTGTGTGGCTAGCCTTACTTTATCACAAATTGACTCTTAGCAGAACTAATCTCTCTCTCTCTCTCTCTCTCTCTCTCTCTCTCTCTCTCTCTCTCTCTCTCTCTGTCTGTCTATTTTGAAATGAGTGTTGTATCCTTCCAAGGGTAATACTCCTAAGCTGTTTTCATTTCCACTAACTCACTTCTTTAAAAATATCTATTTTATTATTTGACAATTACATGCATTTATACAATGAATTTCAGTCCCTCTCATCCCCTCTTGCTCTGTCTAACCCCGCCTCCACATCCCCTCCTACTCACGTAGCTTTCTCTGTGTCACATGCTGAATCGAAGGGAGGCTTCCTGAATGAGCATGTGGGTGAGGTTATTTACCGGTGCATCAGCAGCTCTGCAGAGGTTACAACACTAAAGAAAATGACACCATTTATCTCAGCTATGAATAACTATCAGTAGTCCCTTAGGTAGGGGCGCGACGTCACGGCCCCTTCTGCTTCATGAAGACATGCTGATTTGCCCAGTCTTGTTCCGGTAGTGGCAGACGCAATGAGTTCAGGAGTGCATTGGCAGGCTCCTGTTCAAAGGACCCTGCTTTGGAGCAGGCCTCCCAGTCTCTGTCTTACACCACTTCAGCCCACCTTTCTGTGACGTTCCTAGAGCTTTGGGGTGTGTGGCAATGACGTAGATGTTCCACTTAGAGTCATCCGCTGCAGTCATTTATCCTCTGCACTCTGTCAAGCTGTGGGTATCTGTGACAACAACCGTCCACTGAAAAATAACCTTCTCTGATGAAGGATGAGGGCGGCACTGATCGAAGGGTATAAAGAGAGGTAGTTAGAAGAGAATTTGCTACGATGTCCATTTAACAAAACAGAGCAGTTGATTCTTCCCCTGGGCCTATGCCTTTCCTAGCCACAGCTTTTTGGCCAGGTTTTCAGTAGCAAGCATGAGTTCCGTCCTGTGGAACAGAAAGTAATGGGTTGTTGCTTCGACAATATTCATGCTCAATAATGTTCACGCTGTCATTGAACCAGTAGGCTGGTCTTGTCACACAGTTATTATTATAGCTCAGATGGCTCATAATTGGGTATAACTGTTGATTTTTCTTTAGTACTTTGTGGCTTCTCAGAGGAGCATTCTCCCCTGTATACAATACCACCCTTCAAAGTCTTTTTATTATGATTATATACTATATGTATATGTTTTTACTTAGCTTATAAAATAGCAAGTTTTTATATTGCTTTTCAAACATCCTCGGTTTTCTCCTCCCCTCCCCCCACTTAAAACTTCCCTCCCATTATTCCCCCCTCCCCAGTTTATAACCAGAGTATTCTGTTTCCTCCATTAACTCCCTCCTCCTTGGCCCCTTTGTAGTTTTCCGGATTCTCCAGGTTCTTCAAATTAAACAGGCAAATTCTGCAACATCAAAGGTAGGATCCAGATATGACAGAAACCATGTGATATTTGTCTGTCTGATTCTGGGTTACCTCACTCAGTATGATTTTTTCCAGTTTTATATATTTATTTACAAACTTCATTTTTCTATACAGATGTATAAAATTCTGTTGTGTTAATGTACTTCATTTTGATTATTTGTTCATCAGCTGATTGACACCTGGGTTGTTTCAATTTGTTAGATATTGTAAATACGGCAATATCTCTGGAGTAGGATATTCAGTCCTTTGGGTATATTCCCCAGAGTGGTAGAGCTGAGAGGTATAATAGTTCTGCTTTTTGAGAAGTCTCCATACTGATTTCTACAGTGGCTATATGAGTTTTCACTCCCAGTAGGAGATAAGACTTTGCCTTTCCCAACATCCTCACCATCATTTGTAGTCATTTATTTTTTCTTTTAAATATAATTTTTAAAAATTTAGATTTTAATACAATTACATAATTTCTTTTTTTCCTTTCCTACCTCCATATTCTCCCATTTACCTCCCTTCTCTCTTTTACATTTATGGTCTATTTTTCTTTGTTACCACACACACACACACACACACACACACACACACTCACACACACTACAAATATTCCTAATAACATATATTCCTAAATATAGAAATACACCCTGTTTGGTACAAATAATGTTAGTTGTATGTATGTTTCCATAACTGACAATTTTGTATTGGTTAACCAATATAAAGCCAGTCTGACTGAGATAAGATGAAGTCTCAAAGTAATTTTAATTTTAATTTCTGTGATGATGAAGGATGATACACACTTTGAAAAATATTGTTTGGTCATTTGTTTCTTTTTTGAGAACTTTCTGTTCAGTTTCAATGTCTCCTTTTTTAACAATTTTATTTTACTTATTTTATTATTTTTTGGTTTTTCGAGACTGGGTTTCTCTGTATTGTTTTGGAGGCTGTGTAGTGCAGGATAGCTTCGAACTCACAGAGATCTGCCTGCCTCTGCCTCCCAAATGCTGAGATTAAAGGCGTGTGCCACCAACACCCGGCTTTTTAACAATTTTATTTTATGTGTATGTGTGTATGACTACTTTGTCTGCGTGTATATGCATGTACCACATGTATGCAGGAGTCGGTGGAAATCAGATGTTGACATCATTTCCCCTGGAGCTATAGTCATGCACAGTTGTGAGGGGAGGGGCCTGTGAATCAAACCTGGTCCTCTGGAAGGGCAACCAATGCAATTCCTGCTGATCCATTCCTTCAGCTCTGAAGCCCATTTTTATTAATTGGCTTATTTTCTTTTTTCTTTTTTGAGTTCTTTAGATATTCTAGACCCTAATTTTCTGTCAAATGTATAGCTATCAAAAATTTTCTCCCATTCTGGAAGCAGTCTCTTCACTCAGTTGAGAGTTTTCCTTGCAGTAAAGAAACTGTGAAACTCCATAAAGTGCCTCTTGTTGGTTGTTTAGTTTCGTCTCTTAAGGCTTTGCTGTAATACCATGTTAAAGAGCCAGCTTCTACTCTAGGAACTTTTAGGGGAACAATTCAAACCTAAGCCATATAACACTTTTCAGGGCAATACCCAGTCATTTCAAATAATTTAAAAGTGTTATTCTGTTCATGTTTAGATACATGTTTAGATAGAGAATTTCTTATGTGCATTTGATATTCACTATCTCATTACTGTACTATAGGAGACTGTGACTCAACCTTTTCTTAATTCCTCATTTAATGTGGCTATGGATCACTTCCCACTTAGTGTCATTGCTGCTCTATTGATTCCACCTCCAGGAAACAAGTCTTTCGGTGTGCTTGGCCCCACACTCAAGGCCAACTTGTTAGTTCTGGTAGCTATCATTGTTCCTCTTTCCTGCAGGAAGCCAGACTGCTTTAGAAAATATGGAGATGCATGTAACTTCCTGGGCTCTTTTCTGTTTCATTTGCTCTTGTGATCATTTGTTAAAGTCTCTCTCCCTAAAAACAGCAATACAGATCATGCCTGTACCTGACTCATGAATAGGTAGTAAATAATTCTTGGATAGATGGAATGACTTAAGAACTGTTGTCAGAATGTTAACACATCTCCTATACCCAGGGTTTTGCTTTCCATGTTTTTTGTTGCCAATAATTAATCATGATTCCAAAATATTAAATGAAAAATCCCATACATGAGCAATTGATGAGTTTTATGTTGCACATTGTCCTGGGTGTATCATTATTCATTTAGTTTATCATCATGTAGGATGAGTATGGTGCACTAATATACCGAGAGAAACCATATTCACCTAACTTTTATTACTGTGGATTATGTGTTTTACTTTATTATTAATTACTGCTTGTCTTTCTTTATGTAACTTATAAATAAAACTTTATTGTATATCTATATAGGCAAAAGCCAGTAGGTACAGGGTTTCGTTCTTTCTACAGCTCTAGGCTACCATTAAATAACTAGGAAAGATATGTATCTGATTTGAAAGATCATAGTTTTTAAAAATAATGCTGCAAAATCCATGTCTGGTTTAATTATTTTGGAATATGCTACAGATATCATAAAGCCTAAATCATAGGTAATTTTTCTAAGAAATATGTAAGTGTATTTTGTGGATATTTTATATTGGTGACACACCTTAAAAACATTCATACTAAAAGTTGAGCATAGCAGAGGCTATTATGAAACTTGTGGATGTGCTTTTCTAGGAAGAAAACTACTGATCATTTATCGTCCCACCATCTGCCTCTGCTTATCACATTACCTACATCTGCAGGGTGGGAAAAAGACCACCATGTAGTCACAAAACAAATAATGCCCAGTAAAGTTCAAGTAGTTGAACAGAAATTCCCAGTCTTAGCAAAAGAGGATTTAAAGGTATGGACTGAAGGCTGTGAATACACTATTTTTAGAGAGAGGGTCACATGGCCTCAGAGGTTCATCTGCAGTTATGCATCAAAAGGGTTTTGAAAGAGACACATATAAAGGATAGCATGTGGCAGTGGTCTGGCATGGTCACTGTGAAAAAGCATTCTGCCTAAAGGCATTCTCTGTGATTGCTGAATGAATCTGTCATTCACACTTGAGGAAAGGAAAGTAGTTTTTGGAAAATTGCCTATCTTTCTCAAATTATTAAAGTTCAGCCAATCCCTTATTGAAGAACCTCAAAAGACTCCTAAATGCATTGGTACACCAAAGTAATATGATTAAAGATGTACTTTCCCTTCAATTTGATGTTTATTAATAGGTTAAATTTTAATATAAGATAATTTGGAACATAGGAAATATATCAAGGCTATTTAAAAAAAGATCTCCACATAAATTCCATATGTATTATTTTATTGAGTGTGTGTGTACAGGGTATACATTTCAATATTCACATATATATATGTATACATATATTATGTAGCTTAATAAATTGCAGGTTCATTTTTCTATGGAACATGGAATCTCACTTGCCTTTTACTCCGTATGAAATTCAGTGTTTACCATCATGTAGGATGAGTATGGTGCACTAATATACCTGAGAGAAACCATATTCACCTAACTTTTATTACTGTGGATTATGTGTTTTGCTTTATTATTAATTACTGCTTATCTTTCTTTATGTAACTTATAAATGAAACTTTATTGTATATCTATATAGGCAAAAACCAATAAGTAAAAGGGGAGACCTTTTGTTTTTCACTGGATGGGGAGAATTTTCATTGGTTCGAGTCATAATCAAAGACCACAGGGAGATCTTTCATAAGTGCCAAACTTTTTAGGTATTCCTAGGCTGCTATCGGCAACAAGGCTGTTCTCCCCATTGTGTAACTACATGAACATTTATGAAATTACTATAATTCACTTTTCCTGTTATTTTGCAAACACAATATTCTTCTTTATTTAAAAGAATATACTTACCAAACAGAAAATGGAACAGATTTCCAAACAACATTGGCATGTGAATATTTCAGCTCAGCCATAAGAAAATCTACATTTTATTTAGAACAATGATGTAGCCCAGATTGCTACAAGTATGTAACTACCTTGTTGACCTGCCTGTTTGTGACGAACTTTTCTTTCTTCGACCTTGAGAAAATAAATGAAAAATGTCAGTAATAATTTAAAGGTACATCTCATGTTTAATTTAGATAACATAGTTAAGGCTATACAATTAGCAGAAAAACATGTAATTTTCCTGGCCTGTTATAAAAAAGTAACAGACGAAGTGCTGCAAGTAACAGAAATGTACTCGTACAGTTCTGTAGGCTGAGGGATCATAGTGTGGTTTACAGATAGATGCTTTTTCTGATCATCCTGAGATCTTCCCACCTCATCTCTGCTCTGATTCCTTTTTCTCATGAGGAGCCTTTAATCCCAGCAGGCTGGATTAGGACCCACCAGTGAACTTCTTTTAGTTATCTATTACAGACCCCAATTCTAAATAAAGTTACATTCTGGGGTCTTAGAGGCGAAGGATTCATCACATGACTGTGGGGAGAACTATTCAGCTGATAAGGCATCTTGTAAATGGAGTTTCTGGTGTTTAAATGCTGGGTGTTAGCTTACAAAGGCCAGCTATCCCCAACATCACAGTTTCCTGTTCCATTAATTCTTTTCTTCGCTGCCTTCATTCCACCTCATTAAGCGATTTCATTTGCTACCATCCCAAGGTGCTGCTGGTAGCTTGCAAGATTTGAAGGAATTAAAGCCCTTTGTCTCTTGAGTAGACAGAGTGGATGGCTATAAGAAAAAGCAGTGGTAGTCTGCAAGTGAAATTCCTGGAGTGAGAATTACAGCGGTTGTGTACTCAGTCTGAAAAGTGCTCTATTAAATGAACGTGGATTGTTTGAAAATCTCAACTAGTGAGCTCTAGCTCAAGAAGACAACAAAATGGCCATGTCCATCTCGTTCTTGCAGTATTTCTTCTTCTCTCTAGCCATTTAGGTAGACGGGATTCATTTTTAATCATTTTCAAGATAAGGAGTTGAAGCTCAGAGACTTTTTGTGACTTGCTCAAGTGGTGGGACTAGGACTTCAA